AATGAGTGGATTACATGGGCTCTGAATACTTATAGGCAGCACCGCCGGAACACACCAACCGAAGCGGGACACGTGGTGCCTGGGTACCGGTACCTACCACGGTATTTAAGCACCTCGATTTCGTCGCCGCGTAACCACCACGAAGATATCCGGATCCATGCCACGGACGTCCCCGCAGGAGGGTTGTGGAGACATTCGTCTTCCCATGTTTGCACAGTTCATCGGCCGCCCATAACATCGGCGACTGGCGAGGACACACGCATCAACCGGCCACGCTCGTCTTTCCGGTCACCGAATTTCAACACACAACGGTAGACGAACGTCGCCACCTGACGCTTCTCCAGGGAAACACATCCATATGTCCGCACTTGAGAACTGTACCATCGAAGCAATTACCGACGGACGTCCCCCAATTGTAAAAATGCTGTGTGGACGGCAGGCCGGCCTCGGTATCGAGGTATCGGAGGAATTTTCCGTACTACGTCAACAAGGAAGGGCACAGAAGGGTCATGTCCATGCTACCAATAGGGCACGCACGTCTTTCCATACAACCATACACGGACATCGTCAGGAAATATGGAGGCAGCCCCCGACGAACGTACTTCACGCTTGGGAAATGTGCTGTTTGAACAGCCTCCGACGACCGTCGTCAAGAATGCTGTTGCCAGGGGGGCAAGGAGACGTCCCTGCCCAAAGTCAAATGACGAGCAGGGATGGACGTCCTAACAAACTACTTTGCAGCAGAATATTTCGAGGCACGGAATGAATTCCCATACAACAAGAGACAAAGGGAACGAATTTTGGCAAAATGTGGATCTTTATTCTTCAGCACTATCGGCTGGAAACTACAAGTCTACGAACTGCAATAAATCTAGGCTAAGAGATAAATCAACACATGTGGGGGGACGGCGGTCGGCTGTTGGCATGAGTATGTTCCTCCTCCCGAGGCTCGGGCTCAGGGGTTGGGGGCTCCGGGATATCCCCCATGGCTATGGCCGCCGCCCGGCGTCTATCCCGCCCTATTTTCCCCAGGGCCTCGATCAGTAGATCGTCATCCGTGTGATCGGCTGGGTTGACGCCAGGGCCTAGGAGCTTCTCGAAGATTGGGAGGATGGCCTTGATCCCTTCATTATAGCCACCGGCGAAGGCGCTATCGGCAGAATCATAGAGGAATTGGCGCGACAGGGGGGAGCTTTCCATCAGCCGCACACCGAACCTCAGACGGTCCTTCGCCGGAATTTTCCCCAGAGCATGAGAGAACACGTCGCCAAAAGCCCCGGCGCAGAAGTCCTTGGCCGACTCCATAAACTCGCCGGTATTCCGGTAACCGGAGGTATTGATGCACCATTCCGGGGTGGCATCTTTTGGGGCCGGAAGTACCGGCATGAGCTTGAAGCCGGCCTTCTCCAGGCAGGCCAATTGGGCGCCGGTTTCAGCCCGGAGGGACTGAAGCTCCTCCCTAGCCGAAGCAGCCTCTTCCTCTGCCCGACGGGCGGCCTCCCGAGCCTTCAGTATGGCGGCTTCGGCCTTGATCTTTGCCTCCTGCAGGGCGGCATCCCTGGCAGCTTCGGCCTGCAGCACCAACAGCCCTGACTGAAAGAAAAAATGGGATAAACAGAGTTTAGACGGCGAAGCGACGAGCGTCAAGGGGACAAGATGGGTCGAATCGCAACAATACCTGGATGGCCGCAGCAAGAGCAGCGCTGGTCGCCTCGGAAGACGACCGGGGGGGGCAGTTCGAGGCCGGCTTTAGCCCCAAGCTCCCTCCAAAGCTCCTCAGCCGGCCGGCTCAGGGATAGACCGCTAACATCCTCAACGATGGGGCCGGGGGAAACACAGTCTCGCCCCCTCTTCGTTTTCTTCTCCGGGGCCTTCTCGCTCCCCTTCTTGGGAACCACTTTTGTGGCAACGACCGGCGGGGGGAGAGCAGTTTCAGCATGATGAGTCAGGGCCCCCTCGTTCAGCAGGGTGGCAATCAGGTGCTGCTCACCGTCTGCAGTCCGACGGGCGGCGTCGGAGGCCGATGATCCGGCTCCATGGGCGGCTGCCTCTCTGGCCGCTTTGGCCGCAGCCATCTTCGCCTTCCTGTTCCTCAGGCACTCAGCATTGTCCATTTGTTCGGCGGAAAGGGGGAGACCTGCAAGGGAGAAATACAAGAATATGAAAAGACGAACAGGGATAGGGAGGAACACCCACCTCAGAGGACAGGACCGCCCGTGCCCCGAGACGAGCGTCCAAGGGAGGAAGAAATCCAGGAACACGGGCGGTACCTATGCCTGCTTCAGAGAGTGCCTCGACGGTCAGGTATTCCCCTATAGGGCGAACGCCGCCTTCCAGGACTTTCTTCACTTCCACTTCCAGCCCGGCCGACAGCGCCGGCGACTCAATCTTCGGAGGGTAGCCGTTCCACCGGATTGGGAGGGGAGGACCGTCATATCTAAGAAAAAAGAGCCTATTTTTCCAATCATGGATGGAGGAAGGATAGTGCTCAAATAGCTTCCTCTTCGGACGAGCGGCCACACTCAGGTAACCGTCGGAATTCTGCGGGGTGACCCGGTAGAAGTAGTGGAACAGATCCAGCGATATGACGGCTTTTACGGACGAACAGCGCACGAGGAATGCGGAGATAAATCTATAAGAGTTGGGCATGAACTGCGCCGGAACCACCTGGTAGCAGTTGAAGAACTCCACGTAAAAGGGATGGAGAGGAAACCGCAGACCGGCCTCCACAGAATCCACATGCAGGATGATCATCCCCGGCCGTCGCCGCATGGCATGTTCGGCCCCGCTATGGCTAAAGACGAACGGATGGGGAAAGAAGGAAGCAATCTTGTTCATAGCGACGCGGGGAGAGGGACTGCCTGTGCTCTAAGACACTCTTAATCTTGCAAATGTGCCTCTGCACATCCATGGGAATACCTAAATCGTGCACCTCCAGGTCGGAGCCAGATTGGGCCTCGTCTGCAGAATCATAACCGGCGGGGCGCTCGTTCAGGGGGACGGCGTCAATAACATCTACGGCCCCGTCAGCACCCCCGTCCCCGGCGTCGCTCCCACTACTTTGCGACACATTATCCGGCTCGCCATCAGCCCGGATGGTCCCCACCGTCGTGGCTGAACCAGAGGTCCCGGAAATGCTGGCCTTCCCGGGGGAGCGAGCACTCACATCGGCCGAAGAGGAGCCCGAGGAGGAACCCGACGAACCGGAATCAGAGCTTGACGAAATCTCCATCGAGGTCATTTCGGCTAGGAATCAGAACAAGAAAAGGAGCAGAGGGGGGAAATTACCTTACAGAGGGGTTAGCCGGATTCAGAAGAAGACTTGAAGAGCTGCGGAAAATCGGGAGCAAGAGAGCAGAAATTGGGAACCCTAATTCAGAGGGAAAACCCGGTATTTCAAGGAGAAAACACCGAGGGCGAAGCCAACAAGGGGCCGACACGTGGCAAGGAGCGTACCCCGGCCACGCGCTGTGCGTGGGATGGGAACGTAATGATGACACCTCCTCGGGAAAATGCACCGCCGCAACATCAGCCGTCACCTCGTTTCCTGAACCGGCGACAGCTGTCAAGCACCATGACCACGAGCGTACGCTTCCACCAGATGCAATAAACATAAGTATCAAGATACGGACGTCTACTTCGGGGGGGTTCATACTTCCTTATGTCCTGCGCATGCTCAGAACATCAGAAGTGGGGGACTTGTGTTGGGTTAAGGGCCCAAGCCGAGGTCCGGCCCACTAACCCATTTTGCCAGACGAACGTCCAGCTAGAAACCAGGCCAGCCCACAGGCCCATGTCTCTTGAGGATGGACGAACGTCTGGTGTTGGAGGACTCAGGCCCAGCAGCTCATTCCGACGAACGTCTGTGCAGAGACAAAGAGCAGAACCACGGGCCAGCGGGGATGGCGACGAACGTCCCCGGAGCAAGCCTGTGGTCATCGAGGAAAACCCAGTGCACATGGTGAGTATCTATTAAGGCCAGGCGACGAACAGCCGATATCCCTCAAGGGTCACTTGGAGCAATCCAACTCACTTCCGGGGTGGACGAACGTCCCCACTGATCCGGCGGGAAACCTAGATTCTGGCGGGAAGTGCATTTAATGCTAAAGATTTGGTAGTTGGGACACCAGCGGTCCACAGGCTGCCACGTCAGTACAGCCACCTGCCCATTGGCGGGTATAAATAGAAGCATTTATTTCATTGTAAAGGGTTGGCAACTTTCTATTCTTAGCATACTAGCTCCAGCATTCTTACGAGTAGCATTTCTATCGCCTTGTAAGACGAACGGCCGACGTGCCCTTTTTAGCAAGTAGATTGTACTTAGGGGAGTTATTACGAAGTTAATAATACCTATTTACATTGCCTGCTATTACTCTTGTTTCCTGATTCATCTGATAGTTGTTGGGCTAGATAACCACACACTCACTCCACTCGAAATCTTTGGGCTTACGTGTTGGGTCCAAGGGTTGAAGGAATAAACCTCAACACTGTCAAATAAATCTACGCGTTTTGGTAAAAACGCAATTGACTGTACTTTTTAATGAATTAATTAAGTTTGTGAAGAATAAAAAAAATGACAAAATTGGTTATTTTACGGGTGATCAACCGCTTATTCGGTTAATGGTATTCGCGGATGTCCCAACTAATGTTTTTTTAGCGTTTTCTAATTTTTTACTCTGTATAATTTTTCATTTCCACTTTTTCTTTTCTCTAGATCATCCAATTGTCACGCGGAAGTAATGTCTGTCAAAAATCACTCTATTATTAAATAATACTACGTAGTAATATGTTAAATTTCACATTAATCTCATGTTCTATTTTAATAATATTTTATGTATTAATGTATTAGAAATTTAGTTTATTTTTTTTTTACTTTAAAATTTCAAAATCAATTTTTAAAAGTTTTAAATATATTTATTAATGGTCAAATTTATGGATTAAGAAATGCAATGATTACCATTAAAAAGGAAAGTATATTACAAAATGAATAACTTAACCTAGGGATAGATAGAGTAATGATGGAGATGGGAGTATATAAAAGAGGCCGGATCAAACGAAGTCTTTGATGAAAGTGAGAATGGCAGCAGCTGTTCGGGAATCGACCATGTCGATTCCATGGAAGCCGGCATCATCGAACCGAGCATCCACCGACACTCCTCTCATCACCAACATCTGCACGAACTCCTGCTGCCGGTCGATCAGCGGGTCGCCCCCGAACCCGATCACCAACACCCGCCCTAGCTTCTTCATCGCCCGCTTCTCCGCTCCCTCGCCCGCCGCCATCGGGTTACAGAACCGGTGGTCCCGGTCCGCCCCCTTCGGCAGCGCCATTTCCCACTGCATATCCATCACCGGCAACGGCAGGTACTCGTCCGCCGCCAGCTTCATCTCCGACTCCGTCCGCTTCTTCCCGCCGAACAGCGGCTGGTTCAGTATCACCCCGGCCACGTTCAGCGGCCCGATCTCGCGTTCCGCGGCGAGCAACGCCGCGTTGTACGCCACATTCGCCCCGGAGCTCACCCCGTAAAGGTAGCACCGAGAGATGTCGCCGAAGTTCCTCAGCCACGAGTCCCCGCGCGCCGCCGTGGCTTGCTCTCGCACCCACATCACCGCCTCCACGGCGTCTTCGTATTGCGCCGGCAGGCGGCTCTCCGGCGCCAGGCGGTACTCCACCGCCACCACAATGGCCGGAGTCTCGCTGCACAGCAGGTTACAGCTCTCGTGTATCATGGTGTCGGCGACTGAGAACAGAATCCAGCCGCCCGGCCGGAAGTAGAATATGATCGGAAGCTTCGCGATTGCTTTGTCGTTGGATGGGATTCGTGTGGGGAGGAAGATCCTGATCCATGTATTCTTTTTCTCGTCGAGGATGACGTCTTTGCTCACGGCGGTTTGTCCCTTGACGACGGACGGCGGGCATTCGCCGGTCGCCGGGGTAGATGGAAGGTGGACGAAGCGAGTGAGGGAGCCGTCGTCGTTTAGGGAAACCTTGAGGTGTTCGTAAGGATCAAACTTCGACATGCTCGATCTAGCATCCATAGATCAACTGATCATTTAATTTCCTTCTCAAACCTTAATTAATTAATAAATTAAAGTGTTATACGAAGTAGGAATACATAGCAGCAGCAACAACAATAATAATATAATGTCCGAGGACTATATACATTTAAATGTCCACTGGTTAGGCTTATTTTACGGACACTCAAAATGTGGCGCATATGCTTATGGACATAATAATTAATAAGTGGGAATAAATAATGTAAGAAAACGATTTTTTGTTTCAAATGAGTCTGATTAGAATTTACATAAAGATTATTAGTCTCATCACTGATCATTTTGTTTGTATAAAAAAATTAAATTGAAAAGATTAAAATGGTTTACACAGACAATTACGGAGTAATATCTATTTAGACTAGGAAAAAATGATCAAATAAACTTTTCTATTATTTCTAATCCATCCCTTAAACTCTTGTATTAAAAAATATCATACAAGCACACCTATTTTAAAAATACAATCATCCAATCCATTTGACCTGCTATATCAGAGTTTTTTTTTAAATTAAATGAGGAATATTGATAAAATTCACAAAAACGTATAATGAGTAAATAATCTAATAATAATAATACTCTCTCCCTATTTATATGTTCCCAACAATAACTTTTGGGGCAATGTTTTAGGAGAAAATAATAGGGTAATGAATAGTGTAGAAAAAGTAGGAGAGAAGGTGGAAAAGTAGGAAAAAGAAGATAAAAAGTAGAAAAAGTAAGGGTAATTGAGTATTTTTAAAGGAAAAACTTACCAAAAAGGAAAAATGTGACAAACTTTTAAATACATCTCAAATAGAAAAGTGTAGCAAACTTTTAAATACGGAGGGTGTATAAAAAATAGTACGGAGTATAAATTTAAAAATAGATAAAAATTTAAAAGAATTAAAATAAAAATTACAAAAAAAATAAAAAACAGAAAAAATAAAGTGAAAATAAAAAAATAAAAATTCAAAATTTAAAAACCTTTTAAATAGACGTAGAATATAATTATATTTTTAAAAATTAAAAAAATATTAACTTTGATATTCTGAAAATGTTCACATTTTTTGTATATATTTCTTCAAAATTTAACAATTCTTTAAAGCTTTTAAATTTTAAAAAACCTGCTATTACAGGTTAAAACTAATTAAATGATCAAATTGATCAATTTTGTAAAGTAGCATACTTATATGATACCTTATTTAGTATAGAGATTTAAGTGACGGATTAGAAATAGTAAAACTTATTTGACCCGTTTCTTTAGAATAAGAGTTATGTTTTTTTTTTCAAATAGTAGAACTTATTTGACCTTTAGAATAAGAGTGATGTTAACTAACGAAAGAGTTTATTTAGAGTTGAGGGCCGAACCACTAGCAACCTGGCTAATATGTTATTACAGTGGCCTCTGATGGATAGTTGGAATAAAGTTTGGGGATAAGACACTAATATATTATTTTGGTTAGTGAAAGGGTAGTGATCTTAATTTGGCTAGTGTGGGGAAAGAGACACTAACGAAAAAACGGATGACATCTTACCCCTGAAGGCCCCTAGAACCGATCAGACACTTTTTGGTAGTATGTAAGTTGAGCTTTGATCATACTATGATGGAAAGAGAGCGGAATTTCATCCCAAATCATTGTTTGGAGTCCAATTCGGAATCTCTCCCTTGTGGCACCCTCTTCCTACCAGGTGAGCTACACCCCCCTGGCAAAGGAGTCACTAACGAATTTTGGAATGAAGGATGTAAGTATGAAATGGTAAGAAAAGTTAATAGAGTCACGATGTGGTTTGAGTGGAGGGATTACTAACTCACATACAAAAGCAAGTGGACGGCGTTAACTACCGAACGAAGCAATATTGCATTGTTTTATGGTCACAGACAATAGTTTTGGGAGAGGTCACGAGCGGTGGCGAAGGTGATGGTGGCGGTGACAATGTTTTTTTTTAAACCGAAAACAGACCACTTTATTTGATTAAAGAATTGTTTGCAACATGGCTTACAATGTATTCCAGTATAAAATTATAGCTACTACTCAAATCTTAGATGTCAACACGAGCTCTACCTGAAGCGTGAGCTGCACGATTCATAGACCGATTACAAAAAGAGATTACGAAATTCCTCTTTGTTTGAAGTAAGAAGCGAATGTCATCAATGATCAGATCCATGTATGCAACACCATTCCCTCTTACTATCACCTGAGCGTCTGATTCAAACTCAACCTCTTCCCATCTTTCATAAATTTCCCCTAGTATTGCTTCACGAATACCCCCGCTTCCATCTTGGCTGAAGACCATTCTGCTCTGCATGATCACCCAAACGCTTTAATAAAATCGCCTTGGTCATTTCTTGCTATCCATCCCGACACCCTAATCCCTCCCGATGCATTAACCGCTCCATCAACATTCACTTTTATTCCTCCATTTTTGGGCGTTGTCATCTCGAATTTGCCCTCCTTGTTGAGCTATCATTTTGCCCGCCATGCTTGAAGCATGTTGGAACAACAACGAATAACTCCGTTAGAGCTATGAATTTCTCCATTTCCAAAGCCCCCAAACCAACATAGCAAAATTATAGCGTACCTCTTTGTCCGGTACAATGAGGTGGTTTTTGGATCCAGGCTTGTAAAGGCTCCTCAAGATTTCCCACTCCAAACCTGGCGGCCTCCCAAACTTCCTGCGCTTTCCGGCACGTCCTTAATGCGTGCTCCGACAAGCTTCAGCTTCCTGGTCGCATAGCTTACATTGATTCTGCAATTTCACTCCCCTCCCATCAAGAACCTGTCAAAGAAAATATTTCACTTTTGGTGGGATTTTTAAATCCCGAAGACCTGTCCACCCGTCCCAGTTACTAACCTCCGTCCCCTGCATAAGCATCCAATAGCAGCTTTTAACTGCGAAAATACCATTATTTTCTTCTTTCCATCGATACCCATTTTTTGTCCTGCAGACTAATGGGTATACTAGTAATAATTTTATTTTCTTTTTCATTAAAAATTGTTGAAATCCTCTCTGTATTCCAGTTTTTTCCCGTGAAATCTCTCAGAGCTGCTGCATTCATATGTGCAATCCCGGCTGGTTTAGCTAACTAAATTCTTCCTTAACCTGCTCCTGGCAGCCAGGTATCAGCCCGAACTTGAACTTCCCTACCATTCCCCACCCGTCGTCTGACATTATTTCTTAGCACCTCATGGACCTCATGGATACTCCTCCATATAAAAGAAGCGTTGCTACCCAAATTAGCTTTCAAGAAATCCGAAATTTGGAAAGTAGCGAGCTTTCAAAACTCGCCCCATCAAACTCTCTGGATTTGAGATTAGTCTCCATACCTGTTTACTGTTTAGCCAACATTGCTAAATTAAATTCCCTTAATTTTCTGAACCCCAACCCCCCTGCACTATTTGGTCTGCACATCAACACCCAACCCCTCCATCGAATGCCTTTCCGATCAAATTTTGTTCCTTTCCACCTAAATCCATTCATAAGTTTCTCAATATCATCACATAAATCCCGAGGTAAAAGGAAAACGTTCATTGCATAAGTAGGCATTGCTTAAACCACATTCCGAAGTAAGATTGCTCTAGCAACTCGCGACAGAAATCTGTTATTCCAGCTTTTAATTCTATTAAGAATTCTATCTCATAGATAACCCATAATAGCAGATTTACCTCAACCAACAAGGCCAGAAAGACCCAGATAACGTTGTTGTCCCCCCATTACGTGGAATCTCAAAAAATTGACAACATTGCTCCTTAAACGTTTCCGCCACATTCTGGCTAAAAGTGGCTGAATTTTGCAAAATTAACTGCCTGCTTTGAGCAGCCTTCATACTCCTGTAATATTTGTTTAATAGCACAACATTCATTGCTAGTGGCTTTAAAAATATAAAAAACTATCGTCTACAAAGAATAGATGTGTAACACGCGGTGCTCCCCTACACACCGCCACACCATGGATATCCCTTTTCAGCTCTGCCATTCTTAACAACACGCTCAGTCGCTCAGACCCTTCGTCCGCAACCAGAATAAATAGATAAGGAGGTAGCGGATCCCCTGATGAAGCCCCTTGCTAGGAATAATATAATCGGTTCCAAAAAATCGCCATCAAACTGAATATAATAATTAACTGTCCTGATACACTCCATAATTATATGAACACATCTCCTATTAAAACCCATCTTAAGCATCACGCCCCACAAAAAATTTCAGTCAACTCTATCATACACTTTACTCGTGTCAAGTTTTAGCGCAAGAAATTCCTCCCAATAGCACTTTCTTTTAAGGTAATGTTGGGTTTCGAAAGCAACAATGATATTGTCAACAATGGATCTACCCCGGGATTCCCCCCCACTAAATGATGAAATAATTACGTGAATATGACCAAAATAAATGTGGTTTACAAAAATATGACAAGTTACTAGAGTAGTAATGAAATCATAGTAATTCATGTTGAAGTTTTGAACTTAAATTACTACAACACTACGTTGTAGTAATGAATAGTCATATTTATGTAAATAAATTTTATTTTAGTAATATTCTTATAAAAAACCCCTAAATGATTCAGCATACCCTTAAACCTATTAGTGAGGACTTTTGAAAAGATTTTATAAAGAACATTACAAAGTCCAATAGACCTCCTGTCACCCATATAGTTTGGCTTATCCTTTTTGGGAGAAGTGTCATATCGTAATAATTGTCATTGTTGTTTAGGGAGAAGTGTCATTGTTGTTTAGGGAGAAGGGACATATCCATAGACTATAGGTCAAGCAGGCAGGCCGGCAGGGGCACTCCGTGCCCAGATACAATTTGTTCTACCTTCTTTACACAATTAGTCTGTATTTGTTTTTTTCTTTATAATTTGACTTTGCTTTTGTACTTGTCCCAAAAGCTATATAACATTCCTTTTTTATTTATCTCAAATGCTTTGTCACTATCCTTAGTAATGAATTTGTAGTTCTATTTATTTGTCTCCTATGGACAAACCTCAATCACTTAATTTTTACATTTCTTACCTCACATCCAATTCAAAGTTGGCAATGTCTAATGAAAGGAAGTAACATTACTTTTGTACATTAATTTTACATTTGGTACTACGTGGGTTTTAGGTTTTGGATACAAGATAGAAGCATGATCAACATAGTCAAATTTACTTCTATTTGCTCATCACATGGTTTTTAGCTTTAGCAATTCGTTTGTGAGTGTTAAAGTCTCAAAACCTTGAACCTATTCGAATCATGCTTGGTTTATTCATTCAAATATATCTATAAGCACATGCCAGTAAAGGAGAAAATAAACCTAATATTTTATTTGCTCTGTTGTATCAAACACATTTAACCAAATACCAGAGGAGAATATCTGATCTTTTTATAATTATCAATCTTTTGAACCTAATTAAGACTGACTACATACAGTTAGTGCTCGTATATTTCAAGAGTTTTGAAGTTAGACAGCATTGGGTAAAGGTCTTTTGGGCTTCAGTTCATTGTTCACGGCTCATCATCGTCACTGCTCTCAATGACAACACAAGATTTTCTAGTTTTCATCCTTTTGGCAGCACCATCTACACTTTCCACAGCTTCAGATTCAGGCTTTGACTCGTTGCTTTTTACTTCTTGCAGAATTCTGCCCCCATATTTCTCTGCCTTCAGTTTTCCAATGATCCTCTCCAACTGTGAGTACAATATGAGGTGTTGTCTTATAAAAGTCATTCTCAAATAGTGAAGAAGAAATTGGTATAATAGCTTAGCAGAAATTACCAAGAATTGATTTGTTAGTGTACCAATAGTGAAGTACATAGCTAAGCAAAGAAGCCAAGCCAGTCATCATTTTTTTCCAGTGCCCAAAAGTAAATTGGATGATTAGTGGTAACGCACCTCTTCCACAGAATCTGGTTTCTGTATACTAATAGTGCTAATCTGTTGGGTCGACAACACAGCATGTGGAAATATTGACCCATGGATGGCAGCAAGTTCCTTTCGTAGTTCATCAAGCCTATACTCCAATCCCGAAGATCTGCTTCTTTTGGATGATTTCGGGAAGCTTGAGCTACCCAATTGTTTCTTAGAAACTTCAAGATTAATAACCTTCTTCCCTGACATGTAAAAACAGATCAAACTAACAGGCAGTGCCCACAAACAGATAGTTCAAAAGCTTATTATTCTTCTTATTATTATTTTTATTATAATAATAATAATTATTATTATTACCATTACCATTACCATTACCATTATTATTATTATTATTATTATTATTATTATTATTATTATTACTACTACTACTACTACTATTATTATTATTATTACGGATTATTATTATTATTATTATTATTATAAAACAGAGGTATGGCAAATTGGCAATGTGACCGAATTCCTACTGCAGCAGAAAACACCAACCAAATATGGAGTATAAATAACATTAAAGTGATAGAAAGACACTAACAGAAAGCTTAGCTCATGTAATTTAGAAAGTTTAGTATTTCACCTTGCAGTAATTGCTTTGCAAGAGGTCCTACCGCAATGTAAGCATTGGTTGCATATGCAGTATGCTGAAATTCTTCTTTCTGCAGGGGAGTAAAGGTGAATTGTAACATTATACTATAGGAATATGGGTGGGGGGCTTGCAAATGTATTCATGCTTTCTTGAAATGGGAACACGGGATACGGATGATAGACCTTGGGGAGGTTAGAGTAATAGATGAGGAATACTTGGTTTACATGATCTCTACAATAAAATAATCAAAAGCATTCACATGATAAATCATGTAAATTGAGTGAAAAAACATGCCAATGTAAATGTAGCGCAAGCTAAACCAGATTTTAAAAAAAATGAAGGTTCACTTGCACATGCAACGTCGAAGGCCGAATATGCGGATTCTTGCAGTTAAGAGCTTGCTGGAACTGCCATTATCTCTGAAATGTCCAACACTGCTCTTGCTTCAAAGGCTACCTCAGCACGGGTCTTGAATTTAGCAGCAAATGAGCACATTTATATATTCCTTGATGATGTCCTTTCAATTCAACGCTGTGATTGTCCAGGACTCCAGGTCCAACAAACAAGTCATATACCACCATCTCTCATGCATCACACAACTTTAAACTCACATCCTCTGAACATTGTTGATTGGGACACCATTACCAACAGCGTCATGTGACATAAGGAGGTGTGCAACACACAACTTCGGGAGGAACTCATCAGAGGCCTGGGGAGTTCAAGTTGTCTAACTAGCCTTAGTTTCCTATTTATCATTGTTTCCTATTGCTTCTAGCATTGGCTTTAGCCAAGTCTTTTGATTACCCAAAGTTCTCTTAATTTTATAACTTTATTTTGTTCTGTAATTACTTCTGCACATTTGGACATTTAATTCCACATAGTCTTGACAAAGTCAAGCACAATGTCTGCCACAGGAGGAGGAAGTATCAACATCCTCTTCACCAATTTCAGAGATGTGTTTGAAAGAAAAGGAAAAAAAAGAAGGAAGAATGAAGAAGAGTGCAGAAACGAAGAAGGGTGCAGAATAGAGATTATAGGAGAGCTACGAAGTCGCCAGACTTTGGATTTTCATTTTTGGATGAACCAGACAAGTATCCAGGCGGCGAAGGAGAGTACAGGGAGCATCAAGGGTGTGAGAAAGACGAATGTGGCAGCCGGGCTTGAAGCGACGACAATGAGAACAGATCCGACTGAAATCGTTAGCTGATGTAAAGAAAAGAGAGGAGAGAACTAATAGGATGGGGTGAAGAAGAACGGGTGAAGAAAATGGAAAAAGAAAAAAGCAGCCATGTGGATGCAGTGTGTGTATACTTACTGGATAACCAGTTGGTTACATGATAAAAGGTTAATTTGAACTTTTTTAAGAGTTGGGATGTTTTTACTTGGACTATTTTCAGTCCCAAACCAGACTTGGATGCTTTTACTTGGACGTTTTCGATATAGTATGAAGGCCTATTTACCAGTTTTACAAACACACACACACAGACACACACATATAGGGTCCGGTTCCAATAAAAAGTAGTGTTAAAATACAAAATGTGAACGCATGCCCTTTTGAGCATCTGAGTTACACTATTGCATATTTTCCGTCATCCACTTTGATCCTTTACGGTACACTATTGCACACAGGAAGTAAACTTTTTGCAAAGAAGAAAAACTTTGATTTATTAACTAAAATGACACCGCATTTTTCATCCACTTTACTGCATTTTTGACATATCTAGAGCCATTTGATCCTAAATCCGATGCTCTGGATTTATTCCTACTTTTCATGGGAAGTACTACTAGTATTTGATCTTGTATGTATGTATGTATGTATGTATGTATGAATGCATGCATGTATGTACGTACGTATGTATGTATGTATCGGGCTGGATTTATCGTCTCGAATGGGCCTACGCCCTATCCCAAGCCCGCCCATATATTGTTACAGGCCCATCTGGTGGGTAAATATATATGTACAAACCCGCCTGATTATAAGAGTGGGTTACCCAAGATAATGGAGGTGAAATATATATTTTCTCTATATTTCTACATCTTGTTTAACAAACATTGCATGCAATGCTCATTTTTACCCCCTTTTAGCTATAGAAGATAGGGCATCCTAATCTCAACAAGTTGCACAAACTTCTTGCAGCTCTCTCAGTGTGTATCATATCAATTAGGATAACACTCAAGGAAATCATATACTTGTATAACCAGTAAGCTAAGAAAATTCTTCATTCTCATTCTCTATGAGACTATGATGTGTGGAGACCAAGGTGGGTACCCTACCTAGTATTTCAATATGTTTGACATTCTCTAGTTGCACTTGGGTCTTTTTTTATGAAAATTGAAGAATAATTAGGAATTGTTCAATACAATCCCAAACTTTGATAACGAAATCCAACAAATCAATTTGAAAGTTCTGTCAAGGTCCTACGATGTATAATAAGAATTTCAAAAAGAAAAAGTAGACTAGTTGTCCTCTTACCAAAACATGCTCCGTTATAAGTTGAATGACAAGTTGCTCCAGTTCATCTCTTTGTAACACAAGACCTGAATACAATATTACTAATCTTGATGAACTACGGAAATATAATAAAATATAATTGTACAGAACTCAGTAGGTTATAGTTTTAAAAATACAAGGGTTTCAAATTCATCTTGGACCCACGTTATATCTCACTCATTAATCAACATGGTATCAAAGCCAAACAATTAAATAGTAAAAGAAAATCTGCATAGAAACCCTAGTTTTTTGTGTGAACAGTGAGGTTCTGTTTCCATCTTCGTGCCAAGGCATCTCCTATCATTATTTGACAAAACAGAATAATTCAGGCTGCTCAAATTATGTCACGACCTAGCAGCAAAATCTCACCACCATCCGGCATGACATGCACAGTACTCTCCAACGACATCCAGCCCACTCACCTTGTGTCGGTGTTACGAGATCTTCTGATGGATTTATTATTTTGTTCAAGGGACTCCAGTGGTTCTAGGTGAAAGTGTCAGAGTTTTATGACAATTTTATCTTCCATGTTTATGTCTACTTTTTGGAAACAAATACGAAAAAAATAATTAAGAAAATGACATTTCGTGTTTTGAAGTTAAGAAGTCGAGTAAAGCTGAAGTCATGCAAAAATCCAAGTTGATGTTGCTAAAAGAGAAGTGAAGTTACGGAAAATGCAAGGATAGGATGATAATGGCAAAGACACTAACCTGCACCATTGAGCTTTACCTTTACTTTCTCCACCAATTGCAACATTGTAACCCTTTGATCATTTTCTTGCACTTCATGCACATAAGAAACAATAACTTTTGTGTGACCTGTAAATATAAGTCCATATATCAAATCAGTAAAAAACTACAAACCAAATACAGAAGAGGTAGATTTCAGTAAATAATGTATGGCAGTGTTCGAGGTCTAGAGAAAATAATATATAAATGTTATTATTTGAGTCTTTAAAAAGATCCAAAATTAAAAAAATGATAACCTCCAGAAAATATATCACTAAAACCAAACATGTGCTACAATTATCTCTAAACACAATTCCAACCTCCAGTAAAACAAGAAATTGATAACAATAAGCTATGAACCAGCTTGTCCTCATCCCCTCAAAGACTAAAAGAGGCAAATGTTGGAAGGGAATTGATATTTGAATAATATGAAGAAAAAAGACATGTTGAAATATTCTTTAACTGTTTTTTTTTACAATAAGCCACGGGAAACAAAGCTGCAGGCCAACAAGGAATAGAAGAAGCTATGGGAATAACCACTTTGGAGGCATTACCATGGAGCGACCCCCTTTGTGGGAGTACTTAACCGGGGGGTCAACTAAATGATTTAATAAACCGTGATGAAAGTACATCTACATGTCCCTTAATTTTAATTTCAATAACAAACTCGAATATAATGGACCTGCCTCTTGTCTAAATTTAAATAAGAACCCTCCCCTTCCCTCCCCTCCAAAATCCCCCAACCATACAGGGGGTAAAGCAATCAAACCCTTAAACCTTTATCCAAATGAAAAATGAAAAAGTTGAATGTTGATGTGAGCCACATGAAGCTTTGGAATCAGTAACACCATTAACTTGCCTACAGACATGGAAGACCAAAGCACTAAGAGAAGAAAAAATATCATGAATTCGAAATCGAAATTCCAACAAATGTGTAACTATTTGTGTAAGACAGCCATGGTACCAACAATCATTCCAACAAATGTGTAACTATTTGTACCAACCAGTAAACATTTATTTGTGTATAGATATTATTGTTGCTAATTCATGTTCATGTGAAACTTCTATAAAGAGAAACATAAATTTAAAATAAAGTAAAAAACGTACTAGAGACATCCAATTCTTTCACCTCACTTGAGAAAGCACAGTTGTCACACATTCCTGAATATGAAAATAAATAAGTTTGAACTTCATTATTACAATAATAAACTGAAAAATTGTGTATTTTGCAGAGATGTCCACAAATGGAAGTCGGAACCATTGCAATCTTGTACAGCTTCAGCAAAATGTCGGAAGAAAGCACTTCTGCGACACACTCTTTTAGACTGCAAACAAGACACCATAATTTCAATTAAGAGCTAGAGTAAGACATCAAGCTCAGTTCTCCAACAGCTACTGGATACCATTAGTCCATAATCACAAAGCTTTTCTTGTGGTATACATTGGATGCCACATATAGCACTAATAAACTCATATATATATATATAAAAACACCATATAAAACAATTGAGCTTTTTAAATTTGGGGGATGCTGGTAGTTATAGCTGGGAATTGGTATAACTATTAAACAATAGCTCCTAGAGGCTACAATACTCAAGATGATAAATTGATTAAAACTTATTTGAGGTTTTAATTTTCTTTTGTTGTGGACACCTTTTGAGGCCACCCATATGAAAATTGCTGAAGGCACAAAGGAGCATCCGGCCGAATGCCAGTTGTGGCTAAATTTGGAGGGCAAGATTATTGTTTCCTACTTCATTAATATTTCTTAAATGATGTTAAATCTAGTGTAGTTAGCCTTTCCTTTATGAGTTGTATTAGCTTTACAACTCTTGTTTCCTTTACTTTTAGCTATTGTATTCTCTATGTAGGGGTGCTTCATTATTGAATACTTCTTGAGAGGTTAATTATTGTGTCTTGATAAGGTTGGACACTAATTCACACACCTCTCGTCCAAGGTCACACACCTAAGCGATATGAACCATTAATGTTTAAATATAACATTACTAAGCCCAATTTCAAATAGGGATTTCAAGTGCTATTGGACCAGGGTTTGTAGAAGGCATTATACAGCTATAAAACCCTTCTTTACTCCTCTCATTAGTGAGCCTCTTTGCAGTCACGAATTTATGCTTAAAATTTATAGATCTACATGATGAGATCATGTAGAGAGAGGAGAGAGACAGAGAGAGAGAGAGAGCAGTATCACGCTGGCTGCAGAAGATCTGTGTGTGTGGGTACCGATAGAGCTAAAAAATTCTTCTGAGCTTGTCTGACAACCTGATCTGTTTGGAGCCCTAATATTAAGTTTTCATTCATGTAATTTCATTTATAATAAGAGCTTTTGATCCTCAGGCAAATAACTTTTTTACTTATTCCCATGGTTCTAAAAATCGGAAAAATCGGCCGCCTAGGCGCCGGAAACTCGCTAGGCGTCAATCTCCCGTACGGCTTTTCTGGTTTTCGGCCATGTAATCGCTCCGCCGATTAATCGGCCGCGCAGTCCGAGTACCCGCTCTGAAATCGGCCGCCCAACCATTTTAAAAAAACTTGTGTATTTTAATTTTTTCACAGCCAAGATGACAAGGACGGTCTTCTCTTCGCAAAATGGCATGCCTCTCTTGACCTGATACGACACTTTCTCCTCTGCGATGGAACGGCCGCGATAGTGAACGAGTGCTGACTGCTGAGTTTTCTTCTCATCCATTTTCGGATTTCCATCTTTGATTATTGAATCACCTTCTCAGCCTTCTCCACTGTCCAGCAGTCCAGGTAAAGACTTAAAGATATTTTGATTGTGTTATGATAGTTCGAATTTCGAAAATATGTGCTTAGTTGAGAATTTGTTAGTATGTGTTCAGACTTCAGACCTTTGTATTTCTAATGTGCCTGGTTTTTTTATTGAACGGAAATACTTTATATTTCTATTTGTTGGTATACTCTAAGTATATGTGAGCTCAATTAAGCTTTTTGAGTAGGCTTTCAAGGGTAGTTTGTTAAGCCAATTGCATTATGTTTCACCAAAACTCTGACATGGACATTGAGCTAATACTCCATTAGAGTTAATACTCTGTCATGGACTCCACTGAAGGATACTCATTATTGAATGGTGAAACACCATACTATGCATTCAACACTTGATGGCTTAATGGAGTCTTAACTCAGTGTCCTTAAGGACATGTATTCTTGGATATTGAATTGAGTTAATAGTTTAATACTCCACTGGAGTTTTTGATATTAAGTTTTACCGTAAAACTTAGACTGATGTTTTAAATACACCCTTCTTATTGAATTTTAACATTTTTAGTGGCTTTTTTTCTCTAGTGGTTATTACATATGTGCTGAAGCTCATTGTAGGTATGTTTTTTTTGTAAATATATATATAAATGCATCCATTCCATATTTTTTCACTCCTACAGCCTCTGTATTAACAGTTAGTAGCTTAGTAGGTCATCCAATTTACAGGTAACTAATACAAATATAAAAAGAGTTCTGGCTTGCCAAAATGTTGGTCATTACTTATTTTGGGTACAGTATGAAATTTGTTATTGCTCTCAATAGCTTGACTCGATGTGTACTATTTGAATACAAAATAAAAACTCTAATAGGCTTTCAAGTTTCTGAAATGGTAAACTTGAGCTGTGGGAAGTTCATGTGCTTCTTAGCAAAATATTGATGATGATGCGTGAATCAAGGAATTCTCTCATTAGTTTTGTTTTTGGCTTTGATTGATTGAAGTAATTCATCTATATTATAAGTTTTGCTGATTAACTGAGTATTGCCAAAACATCCAAATTGAGATGTAAAGTATTCCATTGCATCCGGGTTTTCAATTTTGAGTAGAAGGAAATAGCAGTTTATTCCAACAATATTATGTTTGTTACTCTTAAGTCTTATGTCTTTATTTCCTTCCTTAAACAAAGGGTTCTTTGCTTTAAGTCTCCCAATCTTCCTCATCTTTTAATCATTGTTGGATTTGAGGCCAAAAATACTATATGGGATTGGCAGCTTTAATTTAATTGTAAAATAGTAGTTTTATACTTTATTGTAATTTAGGTGGTGAATCTGGAAGTGACAATTAATCTCGCACAGCAAATCCTGAACCTGAGCTTGATGACAAGCTCATTGCTAAAGAAAAATGATGTTCTGGACGCCTTTTAGGGACTATAGATTTAGATAAATATTCTATTAAATAATGTATTTTTATCTTTTACTTTATTTCCTTATTCTTAGGGATGTAGTTTCCTTAAGAATAGAGTTTCTTTTAGCAGGGGATTTTTCTTGTATATATGTAGAGTCTCTGTACATCTTATAATTATTCAGGAAAGTGAAGAATTCGTATTATATAAAACTACATGGTATCAGATCCCTATTCTTTAATGCCCGGAAATTAGCCTCCTCGGCTGTCAGTTTTTTTTCCAAATTCTTCCATCTTTTTTCTCTTTGATCCGTTCTTCTATTGGATCTATTTTTTTCCTCCTTTCCCTTTACGTTGTTACTACTCTTCTTCCGGCTTCTCAAATATTTAAAGAGATCTCAAAGAAAGGGATTATTTTTTGAGAAGAATGATCTAAAAATTATCGAAATTTTTACTAATGCAGATTGGGTGGGCTCTATTACAAACAAAAGATCAACTAGTGTACATCGCCATGAGGTCATTTTTTGGTATTGCCTGTCCCACGCCAAGATAAAGGAGGAAGGTGTTGTGGTACGTGCGTCCGTGCGTGACGACCAACAGTACCCCTTAGTCACATCACATCACATGAATCAAAATATGAGTATCTCGAACTATGAATATCTTATGTTCTTTTATTTTTTTATCTTTTATCTTTCTTATGTTATTTTTATCTTATATGTAGTATTTATCTTTCTCTTATCCAATTTATCTTACCTTATCTTTTTATTTTTCTTATCTTCTCTTTTTGGCTCTAAAATCATGGATAGATTCATGTTAGCCAACCCCAAAATCTTTTGGGAATAAGGCTTGGATGTTGTTGTTGTTGTTGTGGCATAGTAAGTAGTAAGTAGTAACCAGTAAGAACCAAACTGTGGTGGCTTGTAGTAGTGCTAAAGCAGAAATTTGTGCTATGGCTAAAGGAATTTGTGAAGGAATTTGGCTCAAACAAGTACTAAAGGAACTATACCTAGCTCCAAAAGGTCTTATGAAATTATATAATGACAGCAATGCTGCTATTAGCATTGCCAACAATCTCGTACAGCATGATAGGACTGAGCATGTGGAAGTTGATTGACACTACATCAAATAAAAGCTAGATAATGGTACTATATCCATACCACATGTTCCAACTTCACAACAAGTGGCAGACATCCTCACAAAAGGATTATTATATACTCCCAACTTGAGGAAGGTGTAGATTTAGATAAGTTTTTGTTAAATAGTGTACAATTATCTTTTATTTTGTTTCCTTATTCTTAGGGATCAAGTTTCCTTATTCTTAGGAATCTAGTTTCCTTTAGAAGATTCTTCTTCTTGTATATATGTAGGGCCTCTATACATCTTTTAGTTATTCGAAAAAAGTGAAGAATTCATATTATATAAAACTACAGGGACACTTGAAAAAAAGACATTGAAGGGATCAAGGGAGTGGGAGGGTTCAACTGGATACCAATTGTGGCTAAATTTTGAGACTATATTATTGTTGCATACAGTAATTAAATTTCCTAATTCTGCTTTAGTTGGTCTTTCCTATATGAGTTGTATTAGCTCTACAACTCTTGTTTCTTTTACTTTTTAGAAATGTGACGTTCTCTATACAAGGGTCCTTTGTTATTGAATAAAATACTTTCTAGTGAAATAATTCTTGTGTGTCTTGACATCGGGATCAAGTAATTCAAGACTACGATTAGATCCCATTGATTTGCGTGATTTTCTCTCTCCCTCGCTTTCTTCATTCACAATCTTGGATGAGATCTTGCATGTGAGTTCTTGATATCTTTGAGAGGAATGTGTGGAATGCTCGAGTCAAATTGTCACTAAGAGATTATTGTGTAATGTGTACGTGCACCAAAAGTGATCTTTTTCTAAGATTCATTGTTAGCTTTTAATCCCCATACATGGTTGTAAGATTTTCTAGAGAGTAGGAGACATGTGCTCTGGTGCTGTTAGGAATAGTATATGAATACTAGAAGTGAACAAAAAAACCGAAAAACCGAAACCGGCCGACAAAGCAATCGAAATCGAATGACTAAAACCAAAACCAACCAAAACCGAACCGATAAAACCAAAACCGACCGAAAGTGACTAATCCATCGGCTATTCGGTTTACGGTTCATACTTTTGGCTTAAAAAACCGGTCAAACGAAGAGGAAAATGTAGCTGTTAAGGTCATGAGTAAGTGACCTTGTCCAAGGTTGAGACACAAAGCCTAGTATGATCGAGAACAAAGAGAGAGATCATTCTGACTATATTTTTAATTAAATATGAAGAGAGGACGAAAAATATAGGCTTAGCAGAATTAATCCAATCTCCAACCTAGTCAAGAAATCCCAGAATTAATTCTCTAAAAGTTGTTTATTAAATTAACTTAAAAACCTTCATATAGATATTAAGGGTTCCCTAAAGCAAATGGAAAACTAAACTGCTATTCTAATAGAACTAATGATAAAGGAAGACTATTCCAAGTAGGATTAACTAATATTATACTAATACTAATAGGACTCTACTTCTTGTTTGGGCCTTTTTCCTTAGCCACTTTATTCACTAATTTCATATGCTCCCCTCCGGCTTTTTCGTTTATATGTGCGGCCACGGAACGGGTTAATAACAGTAGCAGAAGTAATATCCAAACTAACGAAAGTCTAAAATTGATGCATATAGGCATGATCTATAAATCTATACAACCCCAGTAAAGAAAGAAGACTCACACATACAATGAGAGTTCATCAGTTCATATTAGAAGCATATAGGCATGATCTATAAATCTATATAACCCCAGTAAAGAAAGATGACTCACAAATACACCGAGAGTTCATCAGTTCGTATTAGAAGCATACTATTCAAGTAAAAGTCATAGGGGGTGAATATAAAATTTGAAAACATTACCTGGCAAAATCTTACTATGCTGTAAAGGTTTTTTAATCCAGCATTTTCATAGAAGACCATTGAACTCTAGCAAAAATCAATGACAAATGTAAGTGAGATTATTAGCACACAAGGAAACATGATTATGCATTGAAATTTACCAATCTGGGGACATCAGCAGGCCTAAAGTAAAGAACACATTCTGAAGGAAGTCCATCTCTTCCAGCTCGACCACTTTCCTGTGACCGAAAAGTCAAATGAAGGAAAAGTATACAACTAAAAGAAAGTCCCAAAGAGCAGTAGTCAAACCTGGTAATAAGTCTCCATTGATTTGCTTAAGCTGTGATGTATAACAAACCTGACTATTAAAAACAAACTTTTTAATATTGTAACCCATCTCTACATAGACTTACGCTAGTTGAGCAAACTTGCTCCCAATGTTATTCAGAATATAACAAGTTTTGCATAGTACTTGTATTGCAAAAAGCATTTAAACATTTCTTAAAAGTACTTGAAAAGTGTCTCATTGTGAAGATCTAAGCACACAATAATAGTATCTAAGAATCCTACTATAACTCCTGGTTTGATGTTTGCTGGATAGATGATGTTCTTGTCTCAGCCACTGCTGCCAATCCTGGATAGCGAAGCATAGAAGCCTCTCCTAAATACGCTATAGGAGTATGTGGGTTATAGAAAATAGCGGGATGACAACTAATCTGGAAAAAAGATACAGAACATATACACACATGTGGGTATGAGTGAGTGAGGTTTAAGATCGGTGACTCAGTGAGAATGACCCTTAAAGTGCGAAGGTGGGAATGATGGAAAATGATGAATTTTTGGTTCATCATGATGCACTTTTATGTCTTGAGTAGTGCACTATTCACGATGACAAAAAAAAGTTTATTTACTAAATGCCACCACATTTTATCATTCATTCTGATTATTGGCATTTCTGAAACCCTGATATTTCAATCCAATGCATCATATTCATTCTCATTTCTCATGTGACACACACCATATAATATCAAATCTAAAAAGTGATACACATTACTCAAGAAACCAGTCATAGGTTTGCTTGTTGAGTTTCTATACTCTGTCAAAAATTTGTTGAGGTCACCAGAGGTCATAGGTTGCCTCATATGGGTTGCAGCCTGCCGCAAAGTCACAAGGTGACGGAGGTGCATGGTTGTAGACTTGTAGTCTTGCAGGCTAGGTGAGCTAGACTGCACCAGTGAAGACTTGGAATACAAACAGAGAAAGGTTTGAGGGGTCTAGAAGCGATATATTTTACACCTTAAAAACCAAAAGTTACCTTCAAAAAACCTAGTTATACGGTTATAGTGTTATACCTAGGTGAGCTAGAGAAAAAGACATAGTTGAGGTGCTATCTCGTCCACTATGGCTGCAAGAGTCATCTACCCCACTACAGAAAACCCTATAGTCGGATTAGTCGCCAGGTGCCACTCTGCGCCTCTGTGCTATAGCACTACAATTGTGTGTGGCACTGTGGTGTCCATATTCACCGTTGTTTTTCAAGCACCAAAACCACTCATACATCAAAACTTCATGACTATACTCCAGCTTACTAGAACCAATGGAACTAAAAACTGCTTCACATGGAATCTTCTACTCATATTATTTCATGAAAACTAAAAACAAATTTCTGTCAACCATATTTAAAGTCCACTTATGTCCAACATTTTCATATTTCATATTGAAACATAATTAACACTGGTAACACTATCACGATGTCAACTATCAGATTCACAATCTTGGGTTAAGTATTAGTTTAATGTACTTACTCAGAATGAAACTACATATTAATAATGAGACAATGAAAATATCTCCTCCATATTAATAATTTAAAACCATGCACTAATGTCTAGTGGTTCGGCAAATGGTCAGAATGTTAAACCATTAGTATTGAGGAGGAAATGGGGAAAGTATCTTCTTGACAATGATATAAAAGTTCATGCTAGGATAAATATACCAACGCCTAAGGCGGTAAAAATTAAGGAATTATCACCAACCATCAGGTTTATTGATCCCCATGCCAAAAGCTACCTGAAAGAGAGCAACACTATTAAAGTGGAAAGATTTAAAATAACTGAGAAGCAACTATGTTGTGGTGTACATACTGTTCCAACAATAACTTGTAGCTTCCCACTGCTCCACCTATGATGTCGAAATAAAAATGAAATATATTAATAAGTTGTGGCTCGTACAGTATATTTAAAAAATCTTAGGCAATCAACACCCATCTATAACTTTAATTAGTTGTGAGTTGTGACTAATGGATAAGGACTACTTAATGAAATACATGTACCTTAAATGAACTTCCTCCCGAGCATATACATCCATATCAGCATGGTAGTAACCAGCCGAAATTCCTCTAAGAAGCAATTCTTGAGCAACCTAGATAGTGTGTTTAAAAAAGTTCATATAATTCAACATTCAGAGTGGTAAAATGTTGATAAACGAAAGACTTAACTAGGTTTCAAGCATACATTATTTTTTGGGTCCAGTTTTTCATTAATCATTATTAAAGATTGTTAGGAAATTCCGGTGCATTGAACTTGAGAGACACCCAAGACCACTGAAGTTTGAACCCTGCATTTTATTCTGTGAACTTAGTTTAAATTTATTAAACCATTCGCTGTGTATTACTTAGTTAACCTTTTATTTTACTTTTATTTGTTTTAATCCCCCAACATTAAGGATTGAGAAAACTTGCATCAATTCAAACTAACCAGTGATTAATAATTAACTGACAACCTCCTTTCATCACTCCTCAGAGAATACAGGACTCGATATCGAGTATTTCCATCTAGAAAGACTCACCCATTTACTACGGTTATCAGAATTAACCAGTGTTTTAATCCCCCAACATTAAGGATTGAGAAAACTTGCATCAATTCAAACTAACCAGTGATTAATAATTAACTGACAACCTCCTTTCATCACTCAGAGAATACAGGACTCGAAATCGAGTATTTCCATCTAGAAAGACTCACCCATTTACTACGGTTATCAGAATCCTTGATGTGTTCCTTCAGAATTAGGCTTCAAAAACATAACTTTTCTCAAGCACTTGGTATTCCTTGTGCAACAATGGTCGTGAATTGTTTGAAACACCTCAAAAGTTTCTTGATTGCAATAAAAAATCAATTAGCAGTGCCGATTAAAACTGTGAGGAGTGATAACTGTTCCAAATACGCCAACACTCTGTACTCCATCTTTCTTACATCCAATGGAATTCTACATGAACTGTACACAAGTCTTCTTGTTGAGATACTCCACAACATAATGAACTAAATATTTTGTTCAAACAAGAGAAATAGTTATCTCATGTGTATGCCTAATGACAAACCGATAGATATTTATACCAAATTTTTAGAAGGCTAATTACTGAATACATGAGTACCATAACATGCTTGAGTTTGTGGTATTCTGATATGGGCCAGTTTGACCAAGTCTATCAGAGGCGGTCAAAGAAGGAACCAACTTGAATGGTCTAGTGGTCCTTTGTATTTTATTTAATTGAATCAGCTTTCCTTCTTTCAGTCTAATACTAGTTCATTTAATTCAGCTTTCCCAATTTCAGTCAAATATTAGTATATGAGTTTGTTATAGATTAGACTTCCTTACCATTATTAATTTAGGACTCTTGCCTTTTGCATATATAAGGCTTATTAGTTTGAATAAAATAATTAGCTTTGGAATATTAATTTCTCTTTAGCGCACGGTGGATACTGCGATAACTCCTTGCCGAGGGTGGGAGCCGATCAAGATTTCAGGCACTATAGATTCAGATTTTTCTCTTCCTTCTCATAGTCATCGACCTTGAATTAGATCCTGTACCAAGACGGCTCATAACATATTCATGCTCTTGTTTGAGGGGGGTGTTAATAAATACTCCTTTGTCCCACTTTTATGTCATACTTTCTTTTTTAATCTCTCGAGATAATTTTCACTTTCCTTATGTGAACATCACTAGATTTTTGTTTTTCTTAATTCACCATTCTCATTCTGAAATAATTTAACACAATAGGTCCTACTTGAGATAAAACTTTGGAGAGGGAATTACATTTTATTAGTTTTCATTAACACCCACACTAAAAGAAAAGGTCCCTTATATTTTGGGAGCAAGGGGCCAAAGTGGTGCCAAGGGAGGAAGGTTATAACATTACATATATCACTTAATAAGGTCTTCCATAAGAAACTAGATACATTCATGTTGTTCAAGAAATTTGTTCATACTTGTAGTCTCAACTGACCAACTGATGGGTTATCTTTACCAATTTCTTATGAGGACAAAGTATCGAATACAGTCGTAACAAGCTCGGAGCTTCTGATTATTCATGTTCCCGTTTGAAGGGATGGTATGAAATGAATGATCAATGATACATAGTTGAAAGACGTAACTTGGTGTTTGAAGGGATGGTATGAAATGAAAGATCAATTATACATAGTTGAAAGACGTAACTATGTGCATTGATTTTTCCATTGCGTTTGTTGAAGAATAAGAAAAGAAATTTGCTTTTTTTTTGCTCTATCTTCCCTATTCTTCATTATCCTGCATTACCTTTGTCTCTTGAAACTTCACCAACTTTCCTTTATTGGTTGCCTGAAAAAAACTGTCACTTTCCTCTTAAGTAATTCATTTGTGGTTCTTACTGTTTCCCTCTCCTTTGTACAAAGCTCAACTTAACATTTTAATTTATTATTTCACGTGATGGTCAAACGTGGCAAGGTTTTAAGGGACAGAGGAAGCATCAAACTAGATTCTGATCACTTGTTAAAGTGCCATTGTTTAACAGATTACTATACTCGTAGTAATAACTTTTCCCTCTCCCGTTGTTACTTCAAGATGTAAACAAAACTTCGTATTGTGCTAAGGGATAAAGTTTCAATCATGGGATGGGTTACACTTTCATGAGCTGACAGAGCAATTTGATAAGGTGTTATGGAGTTACCCTTCTAGTGCATGAATGAAGTAATCTTCCATGGTCTACGCAATATGTCTTGTTCACAAATTGAAAATCAAGTCATATGAAAAGGATATGCAAAGTTGATGAAATGGTATATTACCTGTTCACACTCCTTTCTGGAGAAGCAGTACACTATCCCAGATTCATTATTTGGATATGATGTTTCAATATATTGTGCAATCTCATCAATAACTATCTTTCCAACTGATGACTTTTCTTTTACCTACAAGAATATTTTATAAGAAATGTAAAATAGATAGATTGTACCCATACACAAATATAAAAAATTATAACTGGGCTAAATGTATCCAGGAATGAAGGTGTATCAGCTTTAACACCACGATATCTTAGTTATACCATATAAAAGAGGTTTGGCCTGTTCACTGTACTAACAAATTTCACGCATCTTGGAATATGAAGCATCTCCATCAGATCATCTTGTACTTTCCTTGTGGCAGTGGCCTGGCTATAGGGAAAATAACTTTAAGCATGTAGAGAAGTAACGTTAACTACAGGTCTTATAGAACCTCATTTAAATTATTGAATAGAGGACACAGGCATACAGTCAAAGCAATCAGAGGGACATTAGGAAACTGAGTCTTTAATATTCCGAGATTCTTGTAGTCAGGACGGAAATCATGACCCCACTGGCTGCAACAATGTGCTTCCTGAAAAACAGTTCATTTGAAGATTTGAAATTAGAATAAGATTGTGACAATGTGGTGATGAAATTAAACTTCTTTACAGCAAGGATGGCAAAAAATATACTCCGTATATTTTACAATGTCGGAAAAGTTGTTGAGGAAAGAAGCAGTATCAGAGTAAATACAGCGAACCATATCTATTTTACATTTTTACTAAATGTGTCCAGAAATGAAGGTGTATCAGCTTTAACACCACAATATCAGCTGTAAACACAGTATCAAAGAAACACTGTGCTAGCGAATGGTAGGTACCCTGCTTAACAATTGATGTCTTATCTCATTGTTCAAGTTGCTTGAAAAAGGCACCTTGATCTCATTCTACGTGATCATTGCACTTCTTATCAAATACAGAGTATTCCTTTATAAATAAGATGTTGAAAAATAAAGCGGTTTAAGGAAAGTCCACATGGAGCATATACATTGAAAAAAGAGCTATAAACGAATACGTTAACTGCTTACTCTACGACATTAATACTACTATGTCCCTTTTTGTATTCTCTGTTTCATTGGACACAAGATTCGGAATAGAGTTAAATGTCATTTCAAATACTGTTGGGCTATAACCAAGGGTTAAAAGCCAGAAGAAAGGAACATCTTTAGATATTCCAAATGGATCAGCAAAAAATGTGGTATTGTCGAAAAAATGGAATCATGTACATACATCTATGGAAATCAAGGAAAGCCGGCCGGCATGGTGACACTTCTCAAGTTTTGACATAAATCTTTTGCTCTTTGATATCTTTTCTGGTGTGACATATAAAATTTTAAGCTCTTCTTCACCCTTTTCAAGGGCCTTGTATATATATTTCTCATCATCCTTGGTTGTTGTTGAGGTCAACTTGAAAGCTGGGATGCCTAATGCAGTCAACCCCATAACCTAAAGCAAGAGGAATAACTTTTATAAGCTCTATATTATGCAACAAAATGCTGGAAATAGGTAGTTAAAATTTTTTGAAAACTCAACTCACTTGATCCTGGATAAGAGAAACCAGAGGGCTGACAACAAGGGCAACTCCATTTCGAAGGAGAGCTGGGAGTTGGTAACATAGACTCTTTCCCCCACCAGCGGCCATAATTACAAGGACATCTTTTCCACTCATTATTGCATTAACAATCTATCATCACAGGAAAAAAGGATGAAGTTTTTTCAAGCAATTTGAACAGTACAACTACGTATCACACAACAACATGTTATGTTTCAGGGTATAACTTATACGGAGTAAGACATTAACGGAATTTTTTAAAATGCTTCAAGGGTTGCACTTTTTTCTAATAAAAATATCAGTACTTTGAATTTAAGGAATAATGGATGGCTACTTCAGTATTGATATCCATATCGGAACTTTTGGGGGGCTACAGTTTGCAAGTTTTTTGAGAGAAAAAATAATGAGAAAAACAAGATTTCAGCTATACTTTTTTATACTTCCTCATGTTTCCCAAAGTACTTTCTTATCTTCAATAATTCTTAACAATTTCCAAATCATCGTAAAGATTATTAAGATAACTTTGTCACCCAACATATCAAATCAAAACCAAAATATAAAAATTTGGGAAATATCATGATACTTTCATCAATCTGTATGTAAAGAACTAAAAATGTTCAAACGTCAAAGAAGAAGAAAGGTGAGGTGGGGGGTCCTTCTTTAATGCAGGGATAATAGAGTTTTAATCTTGCTTTAAGAAGAAGGGGAAGGGTGTCTAATATTCCTTAGTTTCTTATTAAATCCTAATTCCTCTTTTACATGCCCTTTGTTAATGAGTAATAACCTTTTATAGAAGAGTTTTACAATCATTATTAAACTAGGAAGAGTAGCACACAAGTAAACTAAATAATAAAGTAGTAAACTAGAAATAGGATTTTAATGCGCACAAAAACAGAAACTAGTAGCAAATCTGCACATACACTAGAAATAGAACTCTAATGCAAAAAAAAAACTACCACAGTGCCACAAATACTCCTATATAACTATTGTGCTAATTATTGAGAAGAAGTAACTTGGATACTTGAAGAATAGTCAACCCTTTCTTTGCCTACTCATCCACTTGACTGTTAGAGGCAAGAGAGTATATCTTTAATTTAATCCCTTGGAGCCTATTTCTATCACATCAAGCCATTGTTTATTCTTTGTTTAATCTTCTCTATTGTGTATTTAAAGCCTTGTAAGACTGAATTGAATGCTGCAGAGAAATATATAAAACTTCTTTTTTTACTCTCTCCTTCTCTCGTGTTCTTCACTAGTTCATCATTTTTTCTAACACTAATGTCCATTGTTCCTTGCGCATAACGGCCATAACACAACAGCGACCAAGCCTTAGGAGATGCAAAGCACTTATTATCTCATTTGTACTGAAAGAACTCTCGATAGGAACTCTGCCATTACACAACCAACCAACTACACCTTTAAGACATGTTCATGTAAACAGTACATTAAATGATTAAATACTTAGCAATTCTTTTTTAATCACAAGCATTGGGCTGATTTAGGGTTAGTTTCATCATTCCCTCACAATTAAAAAAAATGAGTAAAAACTCTCCAAACGCACTCGCAGTTGTGCTTACATCGAAGGAAAAGACATGTGATTTCCCTTTGAGAGCCTTATCACTTAGAGATTGAGAAGATGTTAAAGAATATGTGTTTGATGAAGTTGAAGATGAACATGAATACGACGTAATGGTGACTGGGATGACGAATTTAATGGGGGTGATATTGACTGGTTTGGTTTGTGATGTTACTAGTCTTGCTTTAAATGTGTTTTAATACAGCATTGGGAATTGCAACTGGATTTGAAACTTTTATTTCCTTAGTTGGTTTAGGCTCTATTGTAGAACTGAGTGTTGCTTTGTTTGTCATGACTCATGGTTAATGGTTTTTGAATTTGTAATATGAATATGACCAGATTACTCTTTTTCAATGTTTGCATCTCATGTTCAAGTTCAACAGGCACATGCATCCCACCTCAGGCTCAAGGACACCCTTTGCACGCCAGTGCCACTTGTGCTCTTGAGAACTATGAGAGAAGTATTGCTACCCATTACAAAGCAATTTTAACCCATAAAAGTCCAGTTCTATTATGGAAAATTGTGAGTGGAATGTGGATGAATTGCAATGCAGAATATAGAAACTTTGTTTCATGTTAGTTTCCCTGTTTGCACAAAACAAGGATAAATTAAGACAAAACGAGCTAAAGAGAATCTATAAAACTATGAAAAATGTGTGTGTTTTGAATTGCTTATTAATCAACCTAGAAGGTAAATATTGATAGCACAGTTGACCCATTACTGACCTCTCTCTGGTTAGGCCGGTAATTTGATATTCCAAAAACATTGAACCTCATGTCATCAGCTTCGGAATCCCATGTGAATGGCCCAGACCAGTTATCTCTTGGGGCAGAAGTGCTATCATTACACGATCTTCTAGATGAATCATGGCTTTCCAACAGAGCCTTAAGTTCAGATTGCCTATTTTGCAGTCTCTCTTGCTGATCTAGCAAATACGTTATTTGATCTATAAAAGGAGAGTAAACAATCCTTTAATTGAGGATGCCAATAGCATCAAGTACAGAATAATGATAGTCAATTAACACATAACTGAACTCTAAAGCTAAGACAACCCAATAGCTACACTGGAAATGGTTTACTAGGAAAATGGTTTCAAGACTTTAAAATAAACACTATAACTAGTGGCTAGTGCAAACCGCTTAGCCCAGTTCCTCGTGCAGAAAAATTAATATTATTCTTTAAAAAATTAAGAATAATATAAACTATAAATGAAGCAAACTGGAATAATATTAACGAACTGGAGGTAGTGGAACATTGCCTTGCACGTCTTGAAGCTCTCCTTCAACGTTTAGAAGCTCATCCAAGATTTCATCGGTGGTATTACTTTCCATGGATTCCGCGCTTCTTCTCCCTGCTCTGTTGCACCCGCGTTTCTTGACAACGGGATTGTGGGTTACCTGCATAAAAATGGAACCTTTCTCACTCCCTCCATTGTGCAGCAAAAAATGTGAATAAAGTTCGAAATTTGAATAAATTTACTTACATATTTAACCTCAGACACCTAACTTACAAAATACAAACTGTTAAATTTGTTCTCCAAATAGGGTTTGAGCCAATGTTCTAGATGGCATAAGGCGTGCCCACGTGGAAGCCCGCCTTTGAGGCCTAGGCGGGCTTAGTCGGGGTTGAAGCGTGAGAAGGCATTTTGATTTTTTATCATTTATTTTAGTTTTCCTAGAGATATTTTAATTAAATACTCCATATTAGACAATGTTATTCAAAAACATCATACTTTTCTCATTTTCAACAAAAAATGTTTTTCGAATCCTAAGTCTAACAAATATGGAGTACAAATTTACCAATCACACAAAAACTAGAACTTATTTTTGGACAAATCTTTCTAATCTTTCAAAACTGTGACCTTCTCTTTGGAAGTGTCACAGCTATGTCATCAGACCACAAGGTACACAAAAACTAGAACTGGAAAAAAAGTTTAATTAATGACAGTGGTAAGAACGTTGATAATGATAACAATTAAATACAACAACAACTATAGTAATAATAACAACAAGAATTCCAACAATAATAACAAGAATTTCAACAACAATAATACAAATAGTGATAATAATAATAATGATATAATAGTAGTAGAAAGTATACAGAATTCCAAAAATAATAACAAGAATTTCAACAACAACAGTACCAGTAGTGATGATGATATAATAATACTATTAATAATAATACTGATGATGATGATGATAATAATAATAATAATAATAATAATAATAATAATAATAATAACAATAATACAAATAGAGATAATATAATAATAGCAATATAAAGTAAGATATGCTCTACTTGTTTAGCATATTGCGTATAGAGTATAAGTAATGAAAATGTCTAAGTAATTCTTAGGGTTGGTTTGAAAATGCTTTAAAAAAGACTTCTCAGCTTTTGGCTTAAAAAACACTTATTTTACCAAACACTACCAATTTTAATTTTTCTAGGCTTTCGTGTCAAAAATGCTTTTACTTTTTCTATTACACAAAAGCACTTATTTCACAAAACACTACCAACTTTTACTTGCAAAGTCACCTTTTTCTCAAACACTATCAACTTTTATTTAACTATTGCTCCCTATTTCATTAAAAAAAGTATTTTTTTTAAGCAGAAACTGTTGCAAACAAACCCTTAATGATGTTGCAGCCGAGTCGGTTAGATGGGTTCTCTTCACACCAGGCCCCACCCGAGTTCGAATCCCCCTCCTACTAGCTTAAAATTTCATTTCCAACTTTCTCATTCAAAAATCCCACTCCGGAGGCCGTATTCGAATCCCCCTCCATACTTAATTTTTTAGCTTATACGAAATGCAGAGTACTGAAGTACTGGCTTAAAATTTCATTTTCAACTTTCTCAATAAAAAATTCTCATTCAAAAATCCCACACCGGAGGGATAGAGGCGTACCACTCTCCCAAACTCTATATTTTTATCATCTCCCTTCCTCATATGAATCAAACGACTCCAACCAGCTGTAAACGGGCCATAAGTTGGGCTTGGTACGCCTTTATCCGCGCCTTATGGATAGGCGAGGCATTTGGGTGGCGCCCCACGCCTAGGCCCGCCTTTGCGGAGCCTTTTGGGGCCTTTTAGAACACTGATTTGGGCACGATTAATCATAAAATGAGGAGTTTGATGCATTTTTTAAATAAAAAAAATAAAACTCAATTTTTGTATATTACATGAGATTTTGGTGCATTAAACAACTAATGATTATGCTAATAACACGTTCTTCCCTATTAAATGTGTGAATGGTATTAAAAGGATAAAGTATAAATAAAATACAAAAAATTGTACTCACCTAAACATTATCAAATAAGATATGATGAAAATTTAATGGGATGGACCAAAAATGTAAAATGAGACAAATATGAGGAGATAAAGAGAGTAAAAAAATACACATAAAAACAAAACCATATCGGACAAGATCAATTCGGAACACATCAAATTTAAACAAGTTGGATCAAATTAGACCGAACTATATCATAAAATTTCAAACAACGTGAAGAAAATTAGATTGTATTCTTTCATTTTGCTTTTCTAATGACACTACATATTATTTTAACTTGCATTATCTCTACTAGTCAATCCTCCCGTGCGTTGCACGGAGAACAAATGAAACCAGTTTATTTTTACAAATAATTTATTTCATGAGTAATGTGTATATACATACTTATTGTATAAAAATAAAAACATGATATGGAATTATATTAGAATACATGTATGATAATTGTTAGAGATACACCAATTAGTATAAAACTACCAAATAAGTATTCTTTCATCCCTAACATATATTGTCTAATGAAGATGATAACAAATGTTATCATATTACAATCTCATATGTAGTACGGAGTATTATTTAGTTATAATTATGATGATTATTCAACACATGACATTACTTTTTAGGGAGATTTACCCGTATATTACTAAAAGTAGGAAGAATTCTTAATATATGACCTGACTTCTTTTTATTCCTTCTTACGACCAAAAAGCGGAAAGAAGAAAACGGTCAGGGATATGCCGTATAAGTAAAGTACGAAAATACCCCAAATAAGCAAACACGCGCACTGAAAATATACTGCACTTCATACTGTAGTTACTGCTCTACATTACTACATGACATTACTTCACTTTCGGCAACATATCACTGCACTTCCACCAACATTAGTTCTCTTCTCGTTCACTTTAAGAATTTATTTATAGTTCTTTTTATTTTTTTATTTTTTTAGATTTAATAATTTCAGTATTTTACGTCTAATTTATTATATTGCATTTCATGCGGGTGATACTGCTCTACATTACTGCACTACTTGTCATAATCACTTTCCGTCAATGTTATGACACGTTCTATTCCATCTGATTCAGTGCAACACACACTTCGTCAATACATTCCTTCGTTGTCATGTACAACATTACATATTGCCATATTCACTTCCCATACTCAACCATATTATTGCTATGTTTATTGATCATGCTCACTGCCTATGTTTATTGCCCATGTTTAATGCCCAAAAATCCTGATTTCAATAAACCTTAATTTCAAAAATAGAAAAGAAGAAGAAGGTGAATGAGGATGGAGAGACGGCTGGGCGGCGGCAAGATTGACCAACGGAGGTGTGCGATTAGGCGGTGGATGCAGGTTGGTGTAGGGATGGAGGAACGCGGAAAGGCAACATCACACAAGAATCGGGATGGCGGCGGCGCGTATGGACTAGGACGGCGGCCTCCATGTCTAGGGATGGCTGCTGCAACATCATCAACTACCTGCAACGGCAACGGCGGCTGCTTCTATGAACTAGGAAGATGGATGCGATGAGGCGGATGAGCCGATGATAGAATGAGGGAGATTATTAGGATTTAATAATGATACGTTAGGGACATTTTAGTCTATATAAAGTATTTACTCGCACGCATAGGTCATATTTGGGGAAAGAAACTCATATGGTCATATATGAAGAAACTGGAGTAGTTTTACTCACACGGATGATAATTTTCTCTACTTTTTATTATCTTGTTGTGTTTTAAAGTTTCTAAATATTTCCATCTAAAAAGTGAAAATATTTATTTTATACTCCGTAATATCTCTTCATTCATCTCAATATATGTTTTATAAAAGCTACAAATCAAGATTGTTAAAATCACTATATGTTTTATAAGAACTATATATCAATGTTGTTAAAATCGCGAGTTGAATCGTAAAATTGTATAATTCAATATCATTGAACTTATTTGACTCAAACAAAATTGGAAATGCTAAAAATCATTTCAAAATCGGGAAACATTATTAAAAATGTGATTTCAATGGATGTTTAAAATAGTTACTTGTTTACTAATGAATAGTGATGGAGTATATGGCCCGGGAACCCCCGGCCCATAGACTCCTACTTCTCCTACACAAGTCCATTGAGCCCAGAGAACAACTCAGGCCCAAATGCAACGGCCCGAGCCTCAAAGTAGCCCAGAACACACACTGGGGTGCCTTCGGCCTCCATGGCCAAAGGCTCCAAAACTCACAGGATAGCCTTCTCTAGCATAAGAAGCTACTGGGAAAAACGGCGAAAAACATGAGCCTTCGGCATTATCAAGCCCTCGGCATCAGAGAAGCCTTCGGCTGAACAAAGCCTTCGGTCACACAAGGCCTTCGGCTACACAGGGGTCCTTGGTCACATGGAGCCCTCGCCTACACGAGGAGCCTTCGGAAAAACACGCTCAATCATCGAAGATTCCTTTTGGAGACAGCCAACCACCGCATTTAAAGCCACGTCACATCCGCCAACCGCATTCAATGCGGTGAACGTACCACTGCCGGTGCCAACCGGTTGATGTGACCCTTCGGCCGTTGGATTACTGACACGTGTACTCTCATCGCATTTATTGCTGCTATAAATAGCAGCCCATTTCTCCTTGTAAATCATCATCTACATCTCAACTCCACACGCAGAGTTCATTTAATAAAATCGACTCTCTCTCCTCCTATTTACTCTGACTTCTCTCTAAGTTATTCCCACAATAACCCCTCGGATAAGATACCCCCCGGGTAGACTGACCATCATTTGGTGCTCTCGTTGAGAGCTCAGAACAATCAAGTAAGAAACCCTCCCCCTCTACCAAACACAAAACACTTACCAAAAATGGGAAGAACCACCCGTGCCCAGTCCAAAACCCTTGAGGAGAACCACATAGCCCCCGGCGAAACCAACGGGGCTGAGGCCTCCAACAGGCTCTTGGTACCCGAGGGTGGTATCATCCTTGAGTTGGAGCAGGCTACTGCTGACCTCCGTCAGCAACTACAGAAGAACGCCCCTGATGCCCGCGTTGGCCTTAATAATCGAAGGAGGGATCGAAGTGAGAACCAAGTTCCCCCTCCGGCCCCGGCCATCGATCTTCAGGCTGCCTTTGCGGCCTTTGTTCAAAACATGGCTCTCAACTCAGGAGCCCTCGCCTCCCAGGCACCCCTTCAGCCCTACGCTGGAGGAAACGTTATCCAACTACCACCACTCCCTCCCTTGTTCAACAATCCTCCCCCGGGGATTGGGAACGCCGAGGGGGTCATGGCGCAGGATACCGCCTCCCAAGAGGCCCAATCCAGGGATAAGCGCCCCACGATGAAGGAAAA